ACCTTTTATTATTGCTGTAGTCATTTTTGCCAGCAAGAAAGCCCGAATAAAATGTCGTTTTATATTACCTAATTACTAGGCAAAGAAGTAAAAATGATTGTTTATTGATCGGTTCTGTTCTTGTGAATGTCTCCTAGTACGGAACAGACTGATGGGGCTCACTTCGGGCGCACACTTGCATTGTCCCCATGTGTGTGATGATGACATCATTATGGGCGAGAGGCCACAGTCACTCACTTGCTCGGCTAGCACTTATTGACACGCTGCTGGGGGCAGGCTTTGCACCGGGTCATCCACAATAGGTCCCTGGCCTCATGGAGCATAAGACCTAACAGAATACCCATCCGGCAAAACAACAACACAGAGAATCAATTGTGATTTAATATGTGCTAAAAAGAGAGAAGAGTGTACACATGACATGCAGGCATGGACTGTGGGTGCCTGAGCCGGTCAGCCGGCTCGGGGAAGGCTTCCTGGAGGGCTGATGTTTAAGCTGGGACCGAAGGCTGAAAATGCAGGCATGAGCTTGGTGTGGGAGGGTGGTTGGGATGGGGCACCATTGTTAGAAATGTTCCTTGCCATGAGAACAGCATGTGTGAAGACCTCGAGGTCTACTCAAGGGGCATGGAACATTCTGAGAAGCAAAAGAACTTCCTTCGATGAGAATAAAAAAGGAGGAGGGTTAAGAGAAGACAGAAATGAAGAGGTTCGAAGAAGGTCTTGGAAGCCTTGTTAAATATTTTGGACTACATTCTGATAACAAGAAGGCTTTGAAGGATTTTTTCCCTAAGATTCATTTTTTTTTTTAAATTGAGTTTACTGGAGTGACATTGGTGAATAAAATTAAATACATTTAAGGTGTGCAATTCTATAATACATCATCTGTACAGTGTACCTTTTTAAAACAGAAGTAATGTTTTTACAAAACTCCTGTTGAAGGAATGACACCACCCGACTTTAAAACTTAGTACAAATCTGTAGTAATCAATACAGTGCGATGTTGGCAAAAGAAAAGACAAACAGAACAATGGAGCAGAAGAGAGAGCCCAGATACGGGCTCAACGGACTTTGACAAAAAAGCAAAGGGAACACAATAGGGAGCAAGAGAGTCTCTTCGGCAAATGGTGCCGGAGCCGCTGGACATCCATGTGCAGAAGCATGAATCTAGACATGGGCCTTCCTTCCCTTTACCACGATTAACTTAAAATGGGTCACAGACCTAACAGTTAAACACAAAGCTATAAAGTCTGAGAGGGTAGAACACGCAGAAGATCTAGCTGACTTTGGGTAGGATGCTGACTTTTTAGACACAACACCAAAGGCACGAGCTATGTGAGAAAACATTGATAAACTGGACTTCATCAAAATGAAAAAGTTCGTGACACTGTCAACAAAATGAGAAGACAAGCCACAGACTAGAATAAAGTGGACGCAAAAGACGTATTAGATGAAGGACTGTTATCCAAAACATGCAACAGAGTCTAAAAACCCAACAATAAGAAAATGAACGGCTCAGTTACAAAAGGTCCGAAGACCTGAACAAAGACCTCATCAAGGAAGACATACCGAGAGCAAGTCAGCACGGGAAGAGATGTTCAACATCATCTGGCATCAGGACATGATAAATGAAAACGACAAGGAGATGCCCCTGCACACCTAGTAGAAGAACCCACACCCAAAACACTGACAACACTGAATGCTGGTGAGGATGTCAACTGACACTTTGGCAGTCTGGCGGTTTCTGACACTCTCCCCATGTGAGTCACCGACGGTGCTTCTCGGTGTCGACCCAAACGACACGTTCAGTCTCCACGAAACACACGCCTGCAGGTGTTTACGGCAGCTTCACTCCTACTCGTGAAAACTCGGGAGGAACCAGGATGTCCTTGAGGGGTAAGCGGGTAAGTACGCTGTGGAGCAGCCAGACCGCGGAATATTATTCAACATTAAAAGCAAATGAGCTGCCGGGCCAGGAAAACACATGGAGAAACTAAAATGCATATCATTAAGTGAATGAAGCCAATCTGAAAAAAACTTAACACCATCGGATTCCAACCATTGGACATTCTGGAGGAGGTAAGAGTAAGGAGACCCCGAAAAGATGAGTGGGGGTGACGGGTGAGTGGGGGGGGCGAGGAGGAACAGGCAGGGCCCAGAGCATGTCCAGTGCTGTACCACACTGTAATGGCAGGCACTCGCGTGTCACGATACGTTCGTCAAAACCGTAGAATGCACAACGCTGAGCGTGAGCCTCTGTGTCAACCCTGGAGTTCGGGTGGCAGTGAGGTCACTATGGTGTCATTGGTTGTAACGGATGTTCCCCTGGGTGGGGATGGTGACAGGGAGGGCTTGTGCAGGGTCAGGGGGCACACGGGAACTTTTCATACGGTCCACCCAGCGTTGCTCTGAACTTGAAGCTGCTGTAGAAAATAAAGTTTATTCATTAAAAAAAAATGGAATTACCATGTTAAAAAAGGAAAAAAAGTAACCTGTCTCCTTCCAGTTCTCTAGTGGAGGATGGAGTACAGAGGTGTGGAAGTCGGAGAGACGGTAATTCAGTGGGAGGTGACTACCGCTCAGACCCAGGGCCACCGTGGGAAGGAGAGACAGGGACAGCTTGGGTTTGGCCATAGAACTGGCGGAGCCTGCCAAGGAGTCAGGTCTGCTGGTAAAGCAAAGGGACCATCAGGGTGACCCTGGTGACTAATGACGCTGTTCTCGAAGCCCTGCCGGGGTGGAGGACAGGATGGAGTGAACGTGGCTGAGGAGCACGGGGGCTTCGGGGAAGAGGAACTGCTGTGGCTCTGCTGGGGCCGAGAGTCTGGGACATTCAGTTAGAGATCACCCAGGCTACTTTCACTAATTTGTTTTTACTCAGTGGTTATAGGAGTTTCACTAATGCCAGCTTCTCAAAAGTGGTCTTTCCTGGGTTTTAACTTTTCATTTGCATAACCGAAGGACGTGTTTTGAAGGTTTTTCAAGAATAAAAGAGACTCTGACTCAAATGTGTATCAAGCATCAAATTCCCCAGAAAACTGCTAGCAGTTCTGAAATGAGTTCCCCCCGCGCTGTTTCCATCCCTGTGTGGGCTGCAAGGATCTCGAGGCCCTGTTTCAGACAGCTGGGGCTCCAGGCCGAGCCTTCCTTCTAGGGACAAGAAGGCATGGTCTCAGGACCTGGGGCCACCAGAATGCAAGCTCGCTAGGCACACACAGTCACAGGGGAGGCCGGGTGGCTCAGACGGGTTTCTCTCTCGGTCGTCCCTTTGGACTGTGAGCCTGTGAGGAACAGGGATTCCATATCCTCAGCAGTGTTAGCAAATGTGTCTGTGTGTTGGATCAGCATGTAACCAAATCCTCCTGGACGTCCTCAGTCAGTAGAGCGCAGGCAGGGAGGGCGTGAGGCGAAGCGGGAGAGGCCGGGAAGAAAGCCGGCTCCGAGGTTCAGCTGGAGACTCCATGTGGTTTTACCTGAAGCTGGGCCAGTGGTGAAGCCTCTGACCAAGCAGCCAGCGATTTTTCTTTTTTCTTTTTGTACACAATGGTGAATAGCCAGTTCAGCCGATTTCTTTCCCTGAATTGACTGAACTTCATAGTTTAGTGGCATTCAGTGGCTGAGTCCTCTTTTCAGGGTGTTTGAAGGTGGCCACAGATGTTTCTGGGAAATCTTTAACCAGGGGTGTCCAATCGGCAGCCCAGGATGGTTATGAATGTGGCCCGACACAAAATCATACATTTACCTAAAACATTATGAGATGTTTTTTGTGTGAGATTAATTGTCTCAGTGTATTTAACATGTGGCCCAAGACAACTCTTCTTCTTCCAGTGTGGCCCAGAGACACCAAAGGTCCAATCAAAGTCCTTGGATGTTTAAGGTGCAAGGAACAGCACTGACTTTTTGTGCTTTTCCCTCACTTGCTTAGCGGGTCGCTGTCCCAGGGACCCCTCCCTGTCACCAACACAACAATGCACTTGTAGTGTTTGCATGCTGGTGGGAGCAGACACGCCAATTACAAGCAGAGCATGTGCTGCTGATAATTTAAGTGCTATAAAAGAGTTCAGCGGGTTTAAGGAGGGGGAGGGTAGAGAGGGAGGGTGTGTTGTGCAGACGGGACCGGCTGGTGTCTCCGAGCAGCTGACATTTGATCTAAGGGAGACCTGAATGGAGGGAGGGTGTGAGCTGTCTGAGAAGAACATTCTAGACGGAGGAGACAGTGCGTTGAAAGGCCTGCATGGGCACATGATTATTTTTGAGCAAAGTGAGGTAACAAACTTCAGTGATTGTTCTTTGTGTGACTCCAAACAGACGCTTATTTCAAATCAGCAAGACGGCCAGGAGCGTAGTTTCCACGTGACCTTCCAGAATCCCTCAGTTTCCAGCGGATTAAATTTAGCGACAGAGACAAGGCTCCAGTGGTCGGGAATTCTGGCCGATTGTGGGAACGCACCCAAGATGCTCTGTTCCCGAGCCGCTAATGACCAGCTCCCCTCCTGCTACAGAAAGATTTTTAAAAACCACAAACAGTGCTTTATATGAGAATTAGAATGGATTGGGGGAGGGGAATAAGGACGCAGAGTGAATGTGTTAAGGTCCCGTAAGCACTCACGAGCATTAGTTTACTGGTCCTGGCTTGGAAGGAAAGAAGTCAAGGGACAGACAATTTTCATCAGGAAGCAGGACCTGGAAGGCCAGTGGCCGAGTACTGGGGATGGGAAAGGCCTTAGAGACCCAGGCAGGGGTGGAGACTCACCGCAGGCCCCTGGGTGGGTCCCCTGGGTGGGACCCAGGGCTCCTGCCCTCCTCACTCGGAGCCGGGCCCTTCTCTGGCTGTCCACTGAGCGTGCCGGGATCCGAGACCACTCACTCAGGGAAGCCGAGCCTGGCCACCCAGAGGGACAACGCAAGGTCACGTCGTCCTAAAGTTGGTGTGGGACTCATCGTCTGCTGATATGTTCTTACATGCTCTTTGCTTGTTTCTTTACTGTTGGTCTTCCCTGCAGGAATGCGAAGTCTCCAGGGTGGTGATCCCAGCCTGAAAGAAAGCTGCTGGTCCAGAGCACGTGCTCAGTAAATCGCTGCTGAGCGAACACACCCGTCTCCACTTTTCTCTCTATGGTCTCAGGATCACTTTACCCTAGTTTCTCCCGGCAGGTGGGTCTTGCTCCTGGAACAGGTAGGTACATGCGATGGCTCTCGCCTGGTCCTGCCACCCTTCCCCAGTGGGAGGCAGCCCCTCCCTCCGTGGAGCCCCCCTGTAGACAGCGGAGTGAAGGGTGGGAGCCCAGACCAGTCTGAAGAAGGCTGTTCTCAGTGTGGGGTAGGAACCCGGCAGTGGCAGTGACAGTGGAAGGTGGATGCGGTTGGTGGCCATTTGACATGGGCGATGAGAGGGAGGGGCAACCCGAATGGAGTCTCAGGTCTCGTCTAACTGAGGAGCGGAGGGGACTCCTCAGAGGGGTGTGTGACGGGCCGCAGGCCCGGTGGGTCTGAGAAGAGAAGGGCGGAAACCGTGCGGTGGTCTTGCAGGTTCTGATCCTGAGGCTCCTATGTGATACACACAGAGGGGGGTCTGCAGTCCCTCTGTGGGCTGAGTTTGGAGGGTAGGAGAAAGGCGGGGCTGAGAGGGACGTGCAGAGTGTCTGCGCATTTGTGACTGGAGGAAGCACTGGGGGTAGGTGAGAAAACCAGCAAAATCGGAAAGGAAGCGAATGGAAAGGTGGACGGTGAGATAATGAAGTGACGACGGGAACAGAGTCAGAGACATAAGGTAGTGGAGGGAGAAGTGGAGGGAGAAGTGGAGGGGGAAGTGGAGGGAGAAGTGGAGGGGGAAGTGGAGGGAGCCCTTTCTCCTTCCTGCGGAGGGTTCTGCAGACACACGGAGCTCTGTGTCCCTGCCCAGGATGGCCGGAGGGAATGCCAGTATGTCATTGAGAGATGAGGAAACCGCGGGGCACGGGAGTTCAGAGAGCTTGCCTGAGTCACGCAGCCGGGAGCTGGGGGCAGGAAGGCTGATCCCAAGCCTGTCCGTCCCACCATGCAGTTTAAATGTTGGCAAATAAGAGAAGAGAGAGCGATTTCATCAGTACACGGGGGAGACAGTGACTTTTTGATGGGGGAAACACCAAATATTAATGTGAGTCGGAGGGAAAGAGTCACCAGAGGCCAAGAATCGACACTCCAGGAGAGCGCTGGAATCACTAATGTGAGTCCTGGAGAGCTGTGTGTGCGGCAGGCAGGGGGACGGTGCGCAGCCCGTGGACATGGGCAGGAGTCTGGGCTAGGAAGCAGCGGCCTGCGGAGGGAGGTCATTACCGAGCTGGAGCGGAGGGAGCTTGCTGAAGTGGTGGTGATGGTTTCTCCAGGAGGCAGGGGGCAGGGGGCTTGTTCTTCCGTGGACACTGAGGAAGGGAGCCGGGCTCTTTCCCGGGGAGGTGGGAGCACAGGAAGCTGGAACGTGACTGGAGCACTTAGGAAAGTGAGTAGGATTGCCGGACTTCTGGAATAAAAATACAGCTCTCCCCACTGAATTGAAATTGCACACAAGCAACCAATAATCGTTTTTTGTTTTACTTTGGTACGTGTTCCAAATGTCGTATGGTGTTTACTCTGGCAAGACCCAGAGACAGACACCTGCATGAAGAACAGCCGAGCTGCTCTGACACCCGGAATTCAGAGTGGGGCCACCTCAATGTGACTCGGCCCCCTCCAGTGGTGACCTGGGTGCCATGGGAAGTAAGGCAGGGACGTGGGCACGGCTTGGGAGAGGGCCTGAGGGTGCAGTTCTTAGCAGCTCTCCAGAGAGTAATGATTCCCAATGATGGGCACATGTCATCATGCGTTTGTCCAAACCCGCAGAAGGCACAAGGTCAAGAGTGAACCCTAAGGTAAGCCATGGTCTCTGGGTGACGCTGATGGGACACCGCAGGTCCGCCAGTTGTGACAAATGCACCAGGCCTCTCGTGAGTGATGTGTACAATGGGGAGGCGGTGTCTGGTGGGGACAGAGAGCGTGAGGGGGACCTCTGTACCTGCCACTCAATTGTGCTACGAACCTAAAACTTAAAAAAAAAGTTGTAATAATAAAAACATGGTAAAAATAACATTTATAAAACATTTCAGCCAAAAGATGCTTTGTGGTGAAAAGCAAAGGGACGTTCATTAGGCTTTTGTTGCAAGTTTTATGTCAAAGAGTTTTAGTCGGGGAACTTTTTAAGGTGGTTTTAAAAGGTATTCATTTACATCTCTTAGGATCCATTTTGTAGACGTCTGATGTCAGGACATCAGTACACATCTTAAACTTTGAAGCTATTGTTTTGTCTCCCTTTCTGTTCCTTCGCTGCTTGTTTAACGACTAAAGGCCGGTGGCCTGCGAGCCTGGCCTCCACAGTGTCCCCTTTTGGAGCCCAGCCCTGCCACTCACGAACTGGAATGGAAGCTGTCTGAGGGGGCCTTTCCCTGGATTAAACCAGGAACCGAACTTCTCTTTGCAGAGCTGGGTGTGCATGTGGTGCCCTTGAACGCCTTTCCCTTTGAAGAACTCATCAACTAGTGGGTGGGGTGGGGTTTGACAAGTCCCCATGCCGCATGGTGCTGGGCTGACACCTTTTTTAAATGAAACGAGTCCTCAAACCCAATCAGAGTGGATCTCAAGAGTCTAGAGGACCCTGGCTTTGTTTCTAGGTTGCCCGCAAGGTGCTGTTGAGTTTGTGGGTAAGGGCTTGGCGGTGGAGGAAGGCTTTTGGGGAGCTGTGAATCAACCCACAGTTGGCTTTTGCTTTTGCAAACTCATGAGATCCCAGAGGCGGGGGTCTGTTGTTGATTCGCGAGGCCTGTTCTGAGTCATTCAGGTACAGGGCGTGTCTGTCAAGGGAGACTGCACAGCTGAGTTTGGCCTTCACATCTGCAGGGAGGAGAGGCCACTGTGGACCGGGCCCTGGGCGGGGGACTGCCTTCGCAGCGGCAGGGCAGGAGTGCTTTGAGTTTGTCACATAGCTGGGGCTGACCAAGGCCAGCGCCTCTCGCCTCAGGTTCAGAAGGAGCATCTGAGCAGCAGAAGAGCGGGCGGGATGCAAGCATTGAGATTTGGGAGCGCCTCTCAACTGGAAAGGCCAAGGGCCCCAGCCCCCAACCCGGCCCCGGGGCTCTCCCCATTCGGAACTTCCTGAGCTGCCCGCGGGGGCCCGAGCAGCTGCCTGCCCACCTCCTGAGAGGCCTCTCAGCGCCGGCCAGAAACTGGGGCACCCTGCCCGCCTGGCGCCCGGCCGTGGGAGGGGAACCCCCAGCAGCAGCCCGCTCATCTCGCCCTGAGCCCCGGGAAAACCACTTTCTGCCCCGAAGACCTCAAGTTTCGGGGCAGCATCGGGATGGGGGCGGGAGTGGAGGTGACAAATGGAGGCACGTCCCATCCCCGGCCCCTCGCCTCCCAGGCCTCCCGAGGCCCCATCGCAGCCTATTCCCCGGAGCGCGGCAGGGGTCCCGTTTCCCGCGACTGCGTAGCGGCCCCGGGCGCCCCGGCCGCAATCTCAGGACCCTGAACCCGAACCCGCAAGGGCTGCGGGGGGGAGGGGGGGCAGGGGACCAGAAAGGCGCGCTGCGGGATGCCGGGCGGTCCTCTGAGCCCGAGGACTTTTCCGCGGAAAAAGTTCCCAAAGCCCCCCACCTCCTCTGCTCCCCACGGCTGGGGAGAGTGGTCCGCAGCGCCCGAGCCACTGCCAGCAGAGCGTGGGCGCGATTTATAGTTGGAATCCAGGGGGCAGCAGGCCCCGCCCCTTCTGTTGTGTGTTTTTTCCTCCTCTTTTCTTTGGGCTGTGGGGGGAGGGGAGGGGCCCCACACCTTTCCTGGACAGTCCGTCTCTGCAGCCGAGTCCGGGTGGGAGACTGGGGCAGGAGCTGTCCCCGCCCCCTCCTAGGCAGCGGCCCGCCCCGCCGGCGCTCCGCCCGTCATGGCGCGTAGGCTGGCCAATGGAGAGGGCGGCCGGGGAGGAGGGGACCCCGACTCCACAAGTGCTGAGCGCCTCGCTGTCAGGCACTCGCAGCAGCAAGATGACTGGCACGCGGTGCGGACCCACTGCTCTCCAAACGCCACTCCGTCCCGCCTGAGCGAGGTAGGGGAACGGGCCGGCCCCGCGCTGGGGGCCCTGCATGGCCTGAGCGCTTCGGGCCCCAAACGCACTGTTAGATCGAAGCGAAGCAAAACAAAAACTTTCCAAACACCCATCACCGGGCGCTGAAAATATGCATCTCTGGGCAACGAAGGAACCCAGCACGGTCCGGTTGCTCTTGGGCACTTGCGATTCACGAAGTTTGGAAAAGGGTCAGGTCCCAGTTGTGGAACCGACTGCCAGTCGGTAGGAGGTAGTGGAAGCTGCAGCGGGTCGGAGGGGGAGGAGGGAAGGCGCTTATTTCTGGAAATCCTAGGGACAAAGAATATTGGGGGAGGAGGGGTAAGGGCTTAGACTTCCACTTGCGGGCCAGCGGAGTGGAATTGGACCGGGCAACACGGGGCAACGCGGAGCTCCTGCGCGCGAGAGCTTCTGCTGTCCGCGGATGGGTGGGAGCGCCCTCGCCTCAATTCCTCCACTTTGACCCCATTGCCGCTGTACCTGGCACCACTGAAGCAACGTACAAGTAGGCTTCTGCCAAGGAAGGCCACGTCGTGTTCCTTCCACACTTTCTAGATCTCTGCGGAGGAGGCAGCGGGCTGGGGGAGGGTGACGAATAGAACTTCTCCCGGTAGATCTCCAGTGAGTTTCTACAGATGGGCTTTGCGCTCGGCGTCAGGAATGCAGGGACACGCATTGTTAGGGGGCGGGAGGGGGGAGGAAGGGGGGAATAACTTCTCTGTGTCGGCGTTAGCCACATTAACCAAACATACTCTTTATACAATCAAGGAGTTTCCAAAACTCCGGGGGTTTATTGCAATCTCTCACAAATGGTTTTCGCCAGAGCTGCTATATATGCAGCCCCTTCTTGCATTTGGTTACGCGAAAAAGAAGAAAGGAAGGGCAGTTGCTTGGCGGTTCCTGTTTATCTCTAGGCCAGTGCGGGTTTGGCTGCCCAGACCATGCACGCAGTGCCCTCGAACCCCAGACACACCTGCTGCCGAGTTATTAATAGAGCCCAACACGGTTTAGCTGTCAAATGACTTTCACGCCTGTCTCATTTCTAGCAGTTCAGTTAGGAGACGGTTCTAGTCTCTCTGAGCCGGATGGCAGCGCCTGCAGAGCCGTGTGCCTGCACCTCATTTGGGCGGTTGGGTCTCCTCCTCAGAGGCCCGGGAGCCTCTGAGCAGCGGAATGCTGGCGGGGTGGGGGGAGGAGAGTGAGAGGCAGGGAGTGGGGTCGAAGGGGCTCGCGTCTCCATTTTTCCCATTTCCATCTGAGTGGACGTGACCACCGGGAGACTTTTTGTCTTGTTGGAATTTTCAGTTGGGGCGAGTTTTTGTTGGTAGTCATTCTCCTAATCTTTCTTCCCCTTCTTCCTTTCTCCTATCTTTAAAACCATTTTTTTTGCAAGAGATGAGAATTTGATTATTAAAAAAAAGAAAATCCCTCTCTCTGCGCTCTCCCCAAGTTCCCTTAAAGCAAATCCACGAAACTGGAGCAGTGCCTTAGCTAGGGTGACTCGTGCCAGTGTGCTGTGCTTTTCCCCCTGACTCTCTTTGTAACTTGTTTAAGGCTGCGGTTTCCGAGACCTCTGCAGCCCAGATACCCGGGAAGCCTGGATCTCCCCCGGTGAAGCACCCCGGCGGCCAGCAGCAGGCCGTCTCTCCGCCTCGCCCTGCCCTGCCCTCTAGCGTCCTCGGTGGAGCAGCGCAACCCGGGCACCTGGGGCCGCGGTGCGCGCCATGGGGCCCACCGGCTCGCCGCTGGTCAAGGCCCTGCGCCGCTCGCTCTCCGACTACGTCAACTATGACATCATCGTCCGGCATTACAACTACACGGGCAAGCTGAAACTGGGTTCGGAGGAGAGCGGCCTCAAAGTGACCTCGGTGGTGTTCATTCTCATCTGCAGCTTCATCATCGTCGAGAACATCTTTGTCTTGCTGACCATTTGGAAGACCAAGAAGTTCCACCGGCCCATGTACTATTTCATCGGCAACCTGGCCCTCTCAGACCTGCTGGCGGGGGTGGCCTACGTGATCAACCTGCTCTTCTCCGGGGCCAACACCTACAAGCTCACGCCCGTGCAGTGGTTCCTGCGGGAAGGGAGCATGTTTGTGGCTCTGTCCGCGTCCGTGTTCAGCCTGCTGGCCATCGCCATCGAGCGCTACATCACCATGCTGAAGATGAAGCTGTACAACAAGAGCAACAGCTGCCGCTCCTTCCTGCTCATCAGCGCCTGCTGGGTCATCTCGCTGGTGCTGGGCGGCCTGCCGCTCATGGGCTGGAACTGCGTGGGCGCGCTGCCCGGCTGCTCCACGGTGCTGCCGCTCTACCACAAGCACTATATCCTCTTCTGCACCACGGTCTTCACCGTGCTCCTGCTCTCCATCGTCATCCTCTACTGCAGGATCTATTCCCTGGTCAGGACTCGCAGCCGCCGGCTCACCTTCCGCAAGAACGCGTCCAAGACCAGCCGCAGCTCGGAGAAGTCGCTGGCGCTGCTCAAGACGGTGATCATCGTGCTGAGCGTCTTCATCGCCTGCTGGGCGCCGCTCTTCATCCTGCTCCTGCTGGACGTGGGCTGCAAGGTGAACACCTGCAGCATCCTCTTCAAAGCGGAGTACTTCCTCGTGCTGGCGGTGCTCAACTCCGGCACCAACCCCATCATCTACACCTTGACCAACAAGGAGATGCGCCGGGCCTTCATCCGGATCCTGTCCTGTTGTAAGTGCCCCAGGGGAGAAGCAGCGGGCAAGTTCAAGCGCCCCATCATCGCCGGCGTGGAGTTCAGCCGCAGTAAGTCCGACAACTCGTCCCACCCCCAGAAGGATGATGGGGACAACCCAGAAACCATAATGTCCTCTGGGAACGTCAATTCTTCTTCCTAAAACTGGAAGCTGCTGACCTGTGGGGAGTGTTCTTGCACGGTCGCCCACCCCGCCCCAGTGTTTGGAAAACGTCTCTGGGCCTCAGTGCTGTGAGGGAGGAGCTGCGGGAGCCGAGGGAGGGTGGGAGAGGAAGACTCCGCGCCCGCCGCGCCGGGTGGGGTCCTGGGTACAGTCAGTCCTGTGAACAATGTGTGGGGAAGGGTGGAGAGCAGGTCCGAGCCGGGCGTCTGTGTCGTCCCCCAACCGGAGCCTTGATTTTGCACTGAGCCAAAGGTGTAGCCTTGTCAAGCCCCCGCAGGGCTCCGTGGCCCTCCCCAGAGACCAGGGGCCCCTTGTGGGAGTGTCTGTCTGGAGCTTTGAAGAAGAGACGTCACCTTACACTTCAGTCTCCAGCCACGTGGGTGTGCGCACTTCTGCTTGTCTGGCGATGCTCCAGAGCTTACCCTCCCTTCCCCGTCCCCTACCTGGCGCTCAGTGGGGCCGGGCGTGTGGCGTGGCCCATTTCTTCACGGCTGCAGGGGACAGGTGCGGTCCAGGAGGCGGACTGAGAGGGGACGGCTTGCCGTGTCTGGCAGTTTCATTTGCTGAGGCCAAAGTTTCCATGAAACCTGGATCTGTTTTTTTGGAATTTGGTTGTAGCCACTTTGATTTTTTTTTTGACATCTGTACAATGCAATGTGTCACAGTGCCCGGCCATTGTGGCTGAAATCTGCCAGGATCCTGGGCCTCCCAGGAAAAACAAAGACACAAAACACAGTGAAAAGGGACCGAAGGGTGGACTTCGTGAACCAAGAGGGGTTTCCTAACGAATTTGCCTAACGCCTGCAACATCCGTCTTTGGCACTTTTGTCGATATTTTTATTCCAGAGTCTTGTGTGGGTCACTGCAATGGGATGGTTGAACTTGGTTGTGCTCCAAGTGTTTTTCATGATTTTTGAATGTATTTGTTTCAGCATTTTATTGGATTTTTCTAACCTGTGTTAACACCCGTGAATGTGTATTTCTAGAGAAAGTATCGCCCCTTTTGTGCCCTTAAAGCATTACTTTAATGGATGGGGACACCAGAAGTTTCCCGGCTCATTAAATAGTTCATGGAACATGCGTGTAAATGTTACAAAGAATGAAAATACATCGCTGTCTGTTTAGAATGGTTTTCAGTGCAATTAAACCAAGAAATGTCTTTAAAAAAAAAGTATTTAATAGGTTTCTGACTTTTGTGGATCATTTTGCACATAGCTTTATCAACTTTTAAACATTAATAAACTGATTTTTTAAAAGATTCCTTTGTGAAGAGTATTTAAAAATAATTATTAAGATGTTCTATTTCATTCCATGGCTCTTTGGAATGAAAGTTTAAGGGCAAATGCCTGTTATTGTTTAAAAGATTTTTACCTTAACAAACTAGGGTATATAAAAAAAAAAAATGTGCCCTGGCTGGTGTGCCTCAGTGGATGGAGTGTCAGCCTGTGAACCAAAGGGTCTCTGCTGGTTCAATTCCCAGTCAGGGCACTTGCCTGGGTTGTGGGCCAGGTCCCTGTGTGTGGGGCCCGTGAGAAGCAACCACACATTGATGTTTCTGTGCATCTCTTTCTTCCTCCCTTCCCCTTGCTCTGGAAATAAATAAATAAAATCTCTAAAAACATTTTTTTAAACATGTGGTTTGTTCAGAAACCACTCTTTCAGGAAGAGAAACTTCAATATGTGAACCTGAGGAGCAGTAAAGAATGAAAAACCACCTCCCTCTGATATACCGCACCGCAGGGCAATGTAAATGTTTGGCTTGAATATTGCATCCACACCACGCTAAATTGCTAAATTTAGTCCAGCCATTCAGTCCTAAAACATGCGTTTTTTTTTAAAAAGAAATAACACAGAACAGTGTGATTGGAAACCAAATGTCAATTTTTAAATGATAAAACTCAGTGGTCACATTGAGTTGAAAGCTTATGTTCTTGGCTTACTACCAGCATGCTGGGGACGTGGGGATGTGGATATGAGAGATGATAGCCCGTCACCGAATTTTTCAGGACGCTGCCTCGGACTCTCCCAGTCTACCCCTTGAACCTTCTGGAGCTATGCAGTGTCCCCAGAGCAACGGGTTGTGGCATCAGGCTGAGTTGAAGTCACCTTCTATTTGCAAACTTCTAGTTCATAGTATCTGCAAGCCCTGAACATCTCTAGTCATTAATGTCTCCGACTTTGAAACAAGAGCAAGCGTACTTTACAAGCTAAACAGAGTTCTCACCCTAGAAGTCTTACTGCTTATTGTATTGTCATTTTCACTGGGGGTTGAGTGGAAGCATTTTGGCATGGCTGGCCCTCCAGTGCGATTGTTGTTCAGAATGTGTGCTTCCAAGTGTCGTTGAGTGTGCACAGGACACAGTTGGGACGTGAAGATAAACCTCGTGTAACAGGGTGGATGTCATTTCTGGGTAAGGTTAACTGTGGGAAACAGAAGTGTGCTTACTAAGGAAGCCCTAGGTCACAACCCCCGGCTTCCTGAAGGAAATGCCAAAAATGCTCTGAAGACAAAAGGCTGGAAACACACTGGAAGGCCTGCCCATCTGTCTGTCGGCCGAGGCGGAAGGCGTGAGCTCATGCCGCCCTCACTCGCTAGAGCTCTCATTACACGGCCAAGCCTAATGGCAAAGCGAGTCCGTCTAGGGGTCCGGGGGACGATAAAGGGGTCCTGCCCGGGAATGTGGCTTTCTAAGCACAGGGGGACTCCCTCAACCTGGGGGAGATGAGGCAGGGCAGCTGGCCTTGGTGGGGAGCGGGGCTGGGCGCCAGGGAGGACGGACTCGCCTGCCTACTTGGGAGCACAGGATCCAGCGATGAGATATGCTGCTTTTCCCGGAAACTGCAGGCTGTGCATTTTATTCCGAGAAAGCTGGGCCATCGTGGATGGTTCTCCAACGCGTGGGAGGACAGATCCCTGGTTCTGGTCACGGCACCGTGGCTGTGAGGAAGGGCATCTTGATTGTACCCTGAGCGTGAGTGTCTGGGTTTAATTCAGTATGTCCTGAGCATGGAAGATGGGAAAAGCAAGCAAATAAAACCACAGTAACTATGTTTATACTAAAATAAACATCCATCAAATTTTGATTAAAACACATAGAATTTTAAATAGTCTGTACAACACTCGACATATTCCTTTTTTTTTTCAGATTTATTTACTTTTAAAGAGAGGGGGAGGGAGGGAGAAAGAGAGGGAGGAAAACATCAATATACAAGAAAAACATCAATTGGTTGCCTTTCACGTGCCCTGGGGTGGGGTGACCTGGCCCACAACCCAGGCACATGTGCTGACTGGGAATCGAACCAGCAACCTTATGGACTGAGCCACACCATGCCAGGGCTTGACATATTCTTGTAAAAAAGTACTGTTGGCTCACAAATATTTAGCAGATATTACTTTAATACTTTATTCCCAACTATATCAAGTCTGATGATAACTTTACAGAAACTTCAAATAAAAATCTTCTTGCCCTGTAGCCCTGGCTGGTATAGTTCAGTGGATTGAGTGCAGGCGGTGAACCAAAGGGTCACTAGTTCGATTCCCAGTCAGGGCACATGCCTGAGTTGTGGGTCAGACCCCAGTGGGGGCCACATGAGAGGCAACCACACGTTGATGTTTGTGGTTGCGTCTCACATGCCTCTTTATCTGCCTCCTTTTCCCTCTCTCTAAAAATAGGTAAATAAAAATCTTTAAAATCTTCTTGTCCTGGGTGGGGGGGCATCCTTCTGCAAACCAAAGGCCGCTGGTTCCATTACTGTTCAGGGCATGTGCCTGGGTTGCAGGTTTGGTCTCCTATCAGGGCACTTGTGAAATGCAACTGATTGATGTTTCTCACCTCAATGTTTCTCTCCCTCCCTTCCCCTCTCTCTAGAAATAAATAAAGTCTTTTTAAGAAATCTCGTTTTCAAGTATGATAAGTAGAAACATTACTTTAACTTGAGCCACTATTATTAGACATTCATACTTTCACAGAAATGGGAAATTTGCATTCATGCTGACTACTTACTGGATTCTATTTCAGTAACGTCAGCACTTGGGTTGTGATTTATGGCGTCTCTCCTTTCCCCCACAATATAACAAGTCTTGTAAAGATTGTGGCTTTACTTTTTTCCAACTTGGGTTAATTTCTGCCCTGGAAATGGCTTGTGTTAAGGATGTACCCAAGGCCAAGGTCCTCTTGGAGTACTTCTAGGCTAGACTGTGCTTTGGGTGACTTTGCCTCCTCACGCCTCCATTCAGTACATCACTGGGACCCCCGTGGGTTTCCCAGGGGACAGCAAATGCAGCTCAGTTTGGTAGCCATGCCCTGAATAGCTGTTTCAAAAGGATGGTGGGCGCCCCTGGCGAAACCCTCCAAAGCAAGGACCGGACGTTTACGTGAATCTAAGTATTAGCAACTGTATTTCCAACCGAGACGTGAGGGATAATAAGTGACACATGAAAAGATTCTCACTATGAAATGAAGGTTTGATCTTATAGATAGTCACCAGCCCACAAATTAATCCACAGTATTGGCGCTGATGCTTTTGCATGGCCCCTGTGTAATGTCCAAATCCTATATTTTCAAACTTGCTCACTGCATGTTCAGCTGGAAAGGTGTTTGCTGAGGACATCGAACTATTTAGAGACCAAACTGAACTGATCTCATTTGTCTCCCAGCTAATTAGATACAACCAGATATGTCTATATTTTTCTAACTAAGTTTTAAACATTCTGTAAAAGGACTTGCAAGTAACCAAAAGAAACCTTTATATAGGATCTTGTATTCTTTCCCTGTGGGCAGCGTAAATTCTGATGAGGAGTCATAATAAATTGCATCATTTCCCCCACCCTACCTTCCTGCTTTTTTGATGTGTCCTCCACATGGTCCAAAAAAAAGGGACTCAAAATATTCTTCTACCTACATCCTGGCCTTCGCTGCCAACTTTCTAACTGGGTAGCGTCACCTTGCAGAATATCTAAGCAAGCAACGACTGCTTGAGTCACGCAAAACCTTTCAGTTATCTACAAGGAAAAAGGATTTTGAACCAGTGGTTGAAGGAGCTAGGAAAGCCAGGAAGAACATAACTCTGAGTGAGGGTCAGAACTCCGTTAATTCAGTCTTTTCTCAGCCCTTGAGCAGAGCTGGGGCCAAGAGGTTCATTGGAACCTATCCTTGGTTCCCGATGAAGATAGTGTGCCCCTGATACATCCTGTACCTCCTGCTCTTCCTTCTCGGATTCAGCCTTTCTAGTGATTTCTATTTCTCCCATGCCCTCCTGTTCGTCCCTTTTAAGGACTGAGGATTAAAAATCAAAATTAGCTCTGTGTATATCCACGGGCAAAAGCCAAGCGTGGATTGCTGATTTGACCAGGTCTTGCTGCATTTTGCTTTACTGAAGCAAGCACCTTGCTGGTACCACCAACCAGCCTCTGTGTTAACAGTGGGTGAACACCTCGTGGTAAGTACATACTGCGGAATACTATTCAGCGATCAAAACGGAACCACAAGCGATGCTCGCTGCCCATTGCATACATCTCACAACCTTAAGTCGGACCCAGGAAGCCAGCCAGCCACCAAAGAGAACACACCACAGGATTCCACTTTGGTCAAACCCAAGGGCAGGCAAACTGACCTATTAAGACAGCAATCAGAAGCCTAGTGGCCTGGAGTGGAGGATAAACCCCAAAGGAGGATGAGGGAACTTTTCAGATTGTTAGTGACGTTCTGTCTGTATCTTCATTTTTTAGGGTGTTGTTTATTCAGGTATATACATTTGTCTGAACGTCTCCAACAATATTTTTAGGACCTGTGAAATTAAAAAAAAAAATCAGTGTGGTGGACTTCCACTTTTGAGCCTCAGGACTATTGGGGATTTTCCCTGTGACATTACTGAACAAGACTGCCAAGAGCTCAGTAGAATGGGAGCCCAGTTCCAACAGGTCTCACAGAGGGGACAGGCTCACTTCGAGTGTCCCCCGAGGCCCCTGAACCAGAACACAAAAGCGCTCATTGCATCCTGATGACCCTCTGTCCACCTCTGCCGAGTGAGACTTTGCGCTTGGGAATGATTTTCTGTGTTTGGGGGGAGGGCAGTCTTGGGGGGCTGTGCTTCAGCATCGGTCTTAGCACTCTGCCTTGCGTTTGGACGCCAGCACGCAGACGCAGGTGGGGGGGGTGCCCAACTGTTCCCTATCTCCTTAGCCAATGTATGAAAGGTCAGGTAATAAGAACATGCATGCAGGGGCAAGCGCTGCCTTGTTAGACAGCGATGGGCAGA